CACCACCATGCCTGGCTAATTTTTTTTTTTTTGTATTTTTAGTAGAGACTGGGTTTCACCATTTTGGCCAGGTTGGTCTCAAACTCCTAACCACTATTGATCCACCCACCTTAGCCTCCCAAAGTGCTGAGATTACAGGCGGGAGCCACTGTGCCCAGCCTGCCTGGGCTCAAGCAATCCTACCTCGGCCTCTGAAGTGTTGGGATTACAGGCACCTGGCCAAAATCTAGATCTTATTATTGGGTTCAAGTTTTCTTTTCTTTTCTTTTTTTTTGAGACAGAGTTTCGCTGTTGTTACCCAGACTGGAGTGCAATGGCACGATCTTGGCTCACCACAACCTCTGCCTCCTGGGTTCAAGCAATTCTCCTGCCTCAGCCTCCCAAGTAGCTGGGACTACAGGCGTGCACCACCATGCCCAGCTAATTTTTTTTTTTTGTATTTTTAGTAGAGACGGGATTTCACCTTGTTGACCAGGATGGTCTCAATCTCTTGACCTCATGATCCACCTGCCTCAGCCTCCCAAAGTGCTGGGATTATAGGCGTGAGCCACCGCACCCGGCCTTCTTTTCTTTTTTTTTTTTGAGACAGAGTTTCACTCTGTCACCCAGGCTAGAGTGCAGTGGTGCTATCTCAGCACACTGCAACCTCTGCCTCCCAGAGCTGAAGCAATTCTCCTGCCTCATCCTCCTGTGTAGCTGGGATTACAGGCACCTACAACCTTGCCTGGCTAATTTTTGTATTTTCAGTAGAGTGAGCCACCACGTCTGGTCCACTTTTACTTTTAGTTTTGGAGTTTTGCTCGTGTCTGAAGTCTTCCTCAAATATCTGGTGTTCCTTAACTCAGCACTCATATTTAAGAGAGAGTCAGCTGGGCACAGTGGCTCACATCTGTAATCCCAGCACTCTGGGAGGCCGAGGCGGGTGGATCACTTGAGGTCAGGAGTTCAAGACCAGCCTGGGCAACATGGTGAAACTGCATCTCTACTAAAAATAAAAAATTAGGCTGGGTGCAGTGGCTCACATCTGTAATCCCAGCACTTTGGGAGGCCGAGGCAGGCAGATCACCTCAGGTTAAGAGTTCGAGACCAGCCTGACCAACATGGTGAAACCCTGCCTCTACTAAAAATACAAAAAATTAGCCAGGTGTGGTGGCAGGCACTTGTATTCCCAGCTACTCAGGAGACTGAGGCAGGAGAATTGCTTGAACCTGGGAGGCAGAGGTTGCAATGAGCCGAGATGGTGCCCTTGCACTCCAGCCTGGGCGATACAACACTGTCGTAAAAACAAACAAACAGATCCTAGGGGGTAAAAGTAGTTGCCAGCCTTCTGGGACCAGCTGGGGGAAGGGGGCTGGCTGGAGACTTCATTGCTCCGCATAGAAACCTTCACTAAAGACCCTTGATTTCATTATGAACCCTCGTCCCTGCTCTCAGTTGGGCTTGCTGTCCTGGGCCAGAAGCTGTGATGGGTGGGGCTGGGATGGTGGGGGTTACCGGTGTGGGGGATGGGGACTAGCTCTGCAGGTATCTTAGCTCCTTCAGAATCTTTGAATCCATCTTCCTGTTGCACCTCTGGCTTTCTTTTTTTTTTTTTGAGACAGTTTCACTCTTGTTACCCAGGCTGGAGTGCAATGGCATGATCTCGGCTCACCGCAACCTCCGCCTCCTGGGTTCAGGCAATTCTCCTGCCTCAGCCTCCCGAGTAGCTGGGATTACAGGCACACGCCACCATGCCCAGCTAATTTTTTGTATTTTTTTAGTAGAGATGGGGTTTCACCATGTTGACCAGGATGGTCTTGATCTCTTGACCTCGTGATCCACCCGCCTCGGCCTCCCAAAGTGCTGGATTACAGGCTTGAGCCACTGCGCCCAGGCTCTCTTTTTTTTTTAAGATGGAGTTTCACTCTTATTGCCTAGCCTGGAATGCAATGGTGCAATTTCGGCTCACTGCAACCTCCACCTCCTGGATTCAAGCAATTCTATTGACTCAGTCTTCTGAGTAGCTGGGATTATAAGTGCCCGCCACTGCACCTGGCCTTGATTTTTAACTTGAATTTACACCTATGATACATAAGCCTCCATATTTACTCTTGCCCTGGGCCTCTGTAAATGCCTACACCTCTTCTGTCTTCAAATCAATATTTGATTCCTGGATTGAGACATAAAAAGTACAAATTGAGTGTATATTATTATTGTCAGGAAGTAGAAAGTGCTCAAATAACACTGGGGACATTTCAAAAGGATGCCAGGGCCAACCTGAAGGGCTTCCCCATTTGCCTATTTTGGGATAATTTGAGCATCAAAATAAATAATGAGGCCAGGTGCAGTGGCTCACGCCTGTAATCCCAACAATTTGGGAGGCCAAGGAAGGTGAATCACCTGAGGTCAGGAGTTCAAGACCAGCCTGGCTAACATGGCAAAACTTCGTCTCTACTAAAAATACAAAAATTAGCCGGGTGTGGTGGTACGTGCCTGTAATCCCAGCTACTCAGGAGGCTGAGGCAGAAGAATGGCTTGAACCTGGGAGGTGGAGGCTGCCATGAGCTGAGATCTCACCACTACACTCTAACCTGAATGATGGAGTAAGACTCCACCTCAAAATAGTAATAATAATAATGATAGAAACTGATTACTATTCCTTAAGTAAAACAGAAAACTACAGGTACAGACAATATGAATAAATATAAAAGTAATGAATTATAATTCACTGAGTAAAATATGAATCCATAAATCCATTTAATATAAACAAATGAGTAAATGAAGAAGAAGATAAATTTTCTCTTATAGTAGATTGCATTTAACAAGAAGAAATGAAGCCAGGTGCGGTGGCTCATACCTGTAATCCCAGAACTTTGGGAGGCTGAGGCAGGCAGATCACTTGAGCCCAAAAGTTCGAAATCAGCCTGCACATCATGGTGAAACCACATCTCTACCGAAAATTTACAAAAATTAGCCGTGTGCGATGTCATTGAACCAAGATTATGCCACTGCACCTCTCCAGCCTGAGTAACAGAGCCTGAGTCTCAAAAGAAGAAGACATTATATAAATATAAACTTACCATTGAGCAAGTATTTTCATAGTAGTTATTCTAACAGGAGTCATTATCTCTGGATACTAAACCAGATGGCCAGAGTTTTAATGATATACCTGACAATTAGGACTTACACAGGAACAACTGGTAACTTTATGGTGGAAAAACCTGCCAGACTAAGTTGGCAGTACTAGGGGAGAGATGGGTTTACGTCCTGGGGCCCCTAATACGGTGCACTGAGAAGGACACACATTATTATTATTTTTATTTATTTATGTTTATTATCTTTCTTTCTTTTTTTTTTGAGACAGAGTTTTGCTCTTGTTGCCCAGGCTGGAGTGCAATGGCACTCACCAAAACCTCTGCCTCCTGGGTCCAAGCAACTCTCTTGCCTCAGCCTCCCAAGTAGCTGGTATTACAGGCATGTGCCACCACACCTAGCTAATTTTGTATTTTTAGTAGAGACTGGGTTTCTCTATGTTGATCAGGCTGGTCTCGAACTTCCAACCTCCGGTGATCTGCCTGCCTCGGCCTCCCCAAGTGCTGGGATTACAGATGTAAGCCACCATGCCCAGTCTTTTCTTTTTTTTCTTTTGGAGACAGAGTCTTGCTCTGTTGCCCAGATTGGAGTGCAGTGGCATGATCACGGCTCACTGCAGCCTCCGCCTCCCAGGTTCCAGCAATTCTACTGCCTCGGTCTCCTGAGTAGCTGGGATTATAGGTGTGCATCACCACACCCAGCTAATTTTTATATTTTTAGTAGAGAAGAGGTCTTACCACATTGGCCAGGCTGGTCTTGAACTCCTGGTCTAAGGTGATCCGCCTGCCTAAGCCTCGCAAAGTGCTGGGATTACCGGTGTGAGCCACTGCGCCCGGCCTAAAAAAAGATTTTTAATCCTTGCCCCTACAGCCTCCTCAACCACATCCTCCACCAGCAGCCTCTCAGACCCAGACCATCAATGGCAAAACTTCACTCTTCTTTAAAATTACCATGGCCGGGCTCGGTGGCTCATGCCTGTAATCCCAGCACTCTGGGAGGCCAAGGCAAGTGCATCATTTGAGGTCAGGAGTTTGAGACCAGACTGACCAACATGGTGAAACCCTGTCTTTATAAAAAAACAAAAAAAAATTAGCAGGGTGTGGTGGCACATGCCTGCTGTCTCAGCTACTCAGGAGGCTGAGGCAGGAGAATTGCTTGAACCCAGGAGACAGAGGTTGCAGTGAGCTGAGATTGCACCACTGCCTTCCAGCCTGGGAGACACAGTGAGATTCCATCTCAAAAAAACAAATAAAATAAAAATAAAAAAAAATAAAAAAAAAAAAAAAAACAACCAAGTCCCAATCATATACCCTTGCCCTGTTGATCCATCATGGTCTTTGTCTTTTTATAAACCTCCCCTTGGGCTCATGTAGTCAATGATAACCCTCTCTTGAAACTGCAGAGAACAGAAGTGGGGAAGAGAGTGCTCTGGGTTATACCATCTCAAACTTAGCTGCCTGCAGACCCAGTGGGGAGAACTACTCCTGTGAGAATTCAAGTCCCCTCTGCTTGTTCCCATCCACCTTGGTTAGGAGAGACCATCTCACCCCCTACCATCCAGCCAGAAGGGGCTTTAGATCCTTGACTGACAATGGCTCATAGATGCATGGTAGGTCCATTTCCTCACTATCAACTGGGGCTCAAGACTTTGAGCCTTGAGCCTAGGGTCCCAGAGTGACGGCAGTTCTAGCTTATGCCTCCATGTTGGGCCTTCAGTTTCCAAATCACAGAATCATACTAAGAAAAAGCTGAATGGAGTTTATGGATCATTTAGTCCAGACCTTTCACAGCACACTGGATGTTTAAATAATTGTTCTGAAGGCTCAGAGGACCCTCTCTCTTTGCTCTTAGGTGTGGGAATTAGGGTCAGGACTGGCAGGTGCAGGACTTGCTACAGCCACACCCCTTAATCCCTGCAGTGCTGAGCGAGGCCTTCCTCCCTGCCCCGTGATCCAGCCAGCTGCCTGATTGTGAGTTGGTATGGCAGAGGAAGGTGATGTGGATGAGGGGGATGTGTTCCTGGCATTTGCCCAGGGTCCCTCTCCTCCCAGGGGTCCTGTGCGACGTGCCTTGGACAAGGCTTTTTTTATCTTCCTGGTCCTCTTCCTGACACTGTTGATGCTGGAGGCTGCTTACATGCTGCTGTGGCCACTACCATGGGCAAAGTTAGGGGACTGGCTCCTGGGGACACCTCAGAAGGAGGAGGAACTGGAATTGTGACCACCTTTCCTATAAACATCCTCTTTCCTCGCCAAGGAGGTGAGAAGGGAGACAGGAGAGCAATGGGAGTGTTGGGGGCTGTGGAGGAGATGCTTGGATAGCTTAGGGCAGCAGCAGTCTTAAATTCTGCACCTATACTCAGGAATAATTTTGAAAAAGTATATACTCCTTCACATATCTTTAAGTACGTATCTAAAAATTTTTATCATAAATTAAAATTGTGGCTGGGCACGGTGGCTCATACCTGTAATCCCAGCACTTTGGGAGGCCGAGGCAGGTGGATCACCTGAGGTCAGGAGTTCAAGACCAGTCTGGCAAACATGGTGAAACCCAGTCTGTACTAAAAATACAAAAATTAGCCAGACTAGTTGGTGGGCGCCTGATTCTCCTGCCTCAGCTACTTAGGAGGCCAAGGCAGGAGAATTGCTTGAACTTGAGAGGTGGTTGCAGTGAGCCAAGATCGCTGCCACTGCACTCTGGCCTGGGCGACAGAGTGAGACTCCATCTCAAAATAAATAAGCAAATAAAAATAAAAATAAATAAAAATTGTCTCAAGGATGCACTTCCGGCACACTGAGAATATTCATTTGCTTGCTTGATTGACTGAGACGGAGTCTTGCTCTGTCACCCAGGCTGCAGTACAGTGGCACAATCTTGGCTTACTTCAACCTCTGCCTCCCAAGTTCAAGCAATTCTCCTGCTTCAGCCTCCCAAGTAGCTGGGACCACAGGTGCGCACCAGCATGCCTGACTAATTTTTGTGTTTTTAGTAGAGACGGGTTTTACCATGTTGGCTAGGCTGGTCTTGAAATCCTTTTTATTTTTTTCTTTGAGACAGAGTCTTTCTCTGTCGCCCAGCCTGGAGTGCATGCAGCAATCTCAGCTCACTGCAGCCTCTGCCTCCCACGTTCAGGTGATTCTCCTGCCTCAGGCCCCCAAATAGCTGGGACTACTGGTGTGCACCACCATGCCTAGCTATTTTTTTATTATTAGTAGAGAGGGGGTTTCATCATGTTGGCCAGACTGGTCTGGAACTCCTGACCTCAAGTGATCCACTCACCTTGTCCTCCCAAAATGCTGGGATTACAGGCGTGGGCCACTGTGCCCAGCCTATTTATTTATTTATTAAGATGAGGTCTTACTATGTTGTCCAGGCTGGTCTGTACTTTTGAGATGAAGCAATCCACCTACCTCAGCCTCCCAAAGTGCTAGGATTATAGGCAGTGAGCCATAGCATCTGGCCACATTTTATTTTGTGCGTGTGTGTGTGTGTGTGTGTGTGTGTTTTAATTTTTGAGACAGAGTATCACTATGTTGCCCAGGCTGGAGTGCAGTGGTGCAATCTTGGCTAACTGAAACCTCCAACTCCCAGGTTCAGGCAATTCTCCTGCCTCAGGCTCCAAAAGAGCTGGGACTACAGGTGCGTGCCACGATGCCTGGCTAATTTTTGTATTTTTTAGTAGAGATGGGGATTTCACTATGTTGGCTAGGCTGGTCTTGAACTCCTGACCTCGGGTAATCCACCCGCCTCAGCCTGCCAAAGTGCTGGGATTACAGGCGTGAGCCACCAAGCCTGGCCGATTTTTTTATTTTTTGAGATGGAGTCTTGCTTAGTTGCCCAGGCTAGAGTGCAATGGCACAATCATGGCTCACTGCAACCTTCGCCTCCCAGGTTCAAGGGATTCTCCTGCCTCAGCTCCCAAGTAGCTGGGATTACAGGTGCCCACCACCATGCCCGGCTAATTTTTGTATTTGTAGTAGAGGCAAGCTTTTATCCTGTTGATCAGGCTGGTCTCAAACTCCTGACCTCAAGTGATCTTCCTGCTTCGGCCTCCCAAAGTGCTAGGATTACAGGTTTGAGTCACCATGCCTGGCCCCACATTTTAAAATAAAACAATTAGCTGGGAGCAGGCTCAGGCCTGTAATCCCAGAACTTTGGGAGAATGAGGTGGGCAGATCATGAGGTCAGAAGTTCGAGACCAGCCTGACCAACATGGTGAAACCCCGTCTCTACTAAAAATAAAAAAATTAGCCAGGTGTGCCTGTAATCCCAGCTACTCAGGAAGGCTGAGGCAGGAGAATTTCTTGAACCTGGGAAGTGGAGGTTGCAGTGAGCTGAGATCATGCCACTGCACTCCAGCCTGGGCAACAGAGCGAGACTCCATCTCAAAAAATAAATAAAATAAAATAAAACAATTTATTGTCCAGGGCAATTGAAGTATCGGTGGCTCATGCCTGTAATCCGAGCACTTTGGGAGGCCAAGGCGGGCTGATCATGAGGTCAAGAGTTCTAGACCAGCCTGATCAACATGGTAAAAACCCGTTTCTACTAAAAATACAAAAATTAGCTGGGTGTGGTGGTGAGCACCTATAATCCCAGCTACTCAGGAGGCTAAGGCAGGAGAATTGCTTGAATCTGGGAGGTGGAGGTTGCAGTGAGCCAAGATCATGCTACTGCACTCCAGCATGGGTGACAGAGGGCTACTCCGTCTCAAAAAAAAAAAACCATAGTAACTTGTTACCCACTACTACCCATTAAAAAATGTATAAATAGGCCAGGCGGGGTGGCTCATGCCTGTAATCCCAGCACTTTGGGAAGCCAAGGTGGGCGGATCATAAGGTCAGGAGATCAAGACTATCCAGGCCAACAGTGGTGAAACACCGTCTCTACTAAAAATACAAAAAAATTAGCTGGGCATGGCGGCACATGCCTGTAGTCCCAGCTACTTGGGAGGCTGAGGCAGGAGAATTGCTTTATCTTAGGAGACTGCAGTGAGCCAAGATTGTGCCACTGCACTGCAGCCTGGGTGACAGTGGGAGACTCCATCTAAAAAAAAAAAAAAAAAAAAAAGTGTAAATAAGGCCTGGCTCGGTGGCTCAGGCCTATAATCCCAGCACTTTGGGAGGCCAAGGTGGGTGGATCACTTGAGGTCAGGAGTTTGAGACCAGCCTGGCCAACATGGCAAAATCCCATCTCTACTAAAAAAAAAAGAAAAAAGTAAAAAATACCAAAAAATTGGCTAGGCATGGTGGTATGCATCTATAATCCCAGCTGCTCAGGAGGTTGAGGCAGAAGAATCACTTAAACCTGGGAGGGGGAGGTTGCAGTGAGCTGAGATTGTGCTACTGCACTCCAGCCTGGGCAACAGCAAGACCCTGTCTCAAAAAAAAAAAAAGTATAAATAAGTTCTTACCAGTTGGGAATCATTCCTTTTCTTCTTTTATCATTTCTTTTCTCTTTGAACTCCTGCTACCATTCCACTTCCCCACAAACTTTATGCTTTTATTCTATTTTATTTATTTATTTATTTTTGAGATGAAGTCTTGATTTGTCACCCAGGCTGGAATGCAGTGGCATGATGTTGGCTCACTGCAACCTCTGCCTCCTGGGTTCAAGCAATTCTCCTGCCTCAGCCTCCCAAGTAGCTAGGATTACAGACATTCACCACCACGTCCTGCTAATTTTTTTGTATTGTTAGTAGATACGGGGTTTCACCATGTTGGCCAGGCTGGTTTTGAACTCCTGACCTCAAGTAAACCACCCTCCTCAACCTCCCAAGTAGCTGGGATTACAGGCGTGAGCCACCACGCCCAGCCAAACTTTATGCTTTTATACTTGAAAGTCCTTTATTGACCAATCTTTTATATCTTCCTGCCTATACATATATGTTAATGGAGATGAAAAATATCTTTCTTGTGATTGTAAGACTCTAGTTGTTAAAAGTCTTCTGGGAGGAGCTACTGCTACAATTATTATGGGAACAGAATGTTCAAACGGTATAAAGATCGTACACTTTTTTTTTTTAAGACGAGGTTTCACCATGTTGGCCAGGTTGGTCTCCAACTCCTGACCTCAAGTGATCCACCCACCTCAGCCTCCCAAAATGCTGGGATTACAGGCGTGAGCCACCGCGCCCGGCCTATCATACACGTTTTTATGACCATTAAAAAGAAATCTTTACGTGCCTGTAATCCCAGCTACTCAGGAGGCTGAGGCAGGAGAATTGCCTGAACCCAGGAGGCAGAGGTTGCGGTGAGCCCAAGATTGCGCCATTGCACTCCAACCTGGGTAACAAGAGTGAAACTCTGTCTCAAAAAAAAAAAAAAAAAAAAAAAAAGAACTCTTTAATAAGATAGCAGTCTGGGAGTGGCCATTCATGCCCATAATCCCAGCACTTTGAGAGACTCAGGCGGGAGGACTGCTTGAGGCCAGGAACTCAAGACCTGTGTGGGCAATATAGTGAGACCCTGTTGCTACAAAAAAAACTTTTTTTTTTTTTTTTGGGACGGAGTCTTGCTCTGTTGCCAGGCTGGAGTGCAGTGGTGTGATCTCGGCACACTGCAACTTTCAGCTCCCAGATTCAAGCGATTCTCCTGCCTCAGCCTCCCAAGTAGCTGGGACTACAGGGGCATACCACCACGCCCAGCTAATTTTTGTATTTTTAGTTTCACCATGTTGGCCAGGCTGGTCTTGAACTCCTGACCTCGTGATCCACCCGCCTAGGCCTCCCAAAGTGCCAGGATTATAGGCATGAACCACAGCGCCCGGCTGATCCTGTCTTAAAAAAAAAAAAGAAAAGAAAAGAAAAAGAAAGGAAAAAGATAGGTGTTCATGGTGACTTGGTGAAAGAAACAGGGTACATGTCCCTTTATTTTAAACAGGTAAGATTACCCCAGAGATTTCATGGTTGAGAACTATAGTTTTGAGGGGGGAGGAACTATACTTGTTTTCCTTTTCTCTTAAGAGGGTGACTGTATTGTAAAAGGAGAAGTGAAGAATGAGAAGCTGTACCGCAGGTGTTTCCTTACGAAGACCAATTTTGGGAAAGTTGAGGTTCTGGAAATTAAATCCCTTACATGTCCCAAGTCCCAGTCCCCTCCGAGAGTTTTATGTTCCCATTTTGAAAGCTGTAGACTTTGACAACGGGAGAGAAGTGATGTGGGATTGTTTAATGAACGGTGTTTGCCATTCCGGGACTCAGCGTTAGGGATCTAAGGACCTCTGTGGCCCCAGTTAAGTGGCAAGATGTTGTGAAAGTGGGAATCTCAACGATTGGGACCCTGTTAACATTTCTGGTTTCCTCATAAGCTCACCTCTGGAAACAGCCTTGCCTCCACGACACCCTACAGTCTCCCTAAACTCAACGAGGTGAGTATCAGTTTGTTTCTTCATCCTTTATTCTTTTTTCAGCTCTCCCAGAAGAGGAGGCGGAGACCCAAGGTATTTTCGTCTCACAGACTCTCCTCCAAGTCCCACCCCATCATTGCCTATCCACAGACCCTGCGGGGGGGCCTCCACGACAAAGCACGGCCTCCTGGTCAGCACAAACGGCCCCTCGAGGACCCCCTCCGGAGAAGCAGAACCATTCGAGTCCCACCAGTTTGGTTGGCCATTAGTTCTGTGGTGAAGCTTGAAAAGCAAATCAACAACAGTAGCAATAATAATAATAACAACACTTTTGCATGGCGCGTTGTGCTCATTTGTATGCATGTGTTATAACAATCGGGAGACGCAGACCCTGGCAGTGGAAGCAACTGCTGGACAGCGGCAAGGAGCGCGCCGCCTAGCGGGGAAAGGGGAAGGAGCAGCCGAATAAGCCTTGGAAATGGGAATCTGGGAATCTGGGGGACAGGAAAGCAGGGCCAGAAGGCTTGCCAACAGCCCAGCTGAAATAAAAAGGTTTTACTTCCCTTTTAAGAGACTTCTGCCCTTCCATGAAATCCTGCGCAGCTTTGGAAAGCCCAATTCCTTATCCACCCTGTACGGTTCCCCTGCCCCTGCTCGAAAAGGAGGCTCGGTCCTCCCTACATGCTACTCGCCAGCGATTAGGCCCCAAGCAGGAAGTTTCTGATTGGCAGAGTCGTAGAAGCACCGGGTGAAAAGAGCTCCACTGGCTGCGCACCGGAGTCCGGGTTTAGCCAGCGCCGTACGGCAAAATGGCGGCCCCCAGCTGCTTTGGGAAGCCTGGGTTGGGGGAGACAAACTCCGATCTGAAAGAGAGCGCTATGTGGGCGGCACTGAAGGTGTTCACGGGGCGGGCCTACGGCCACTTCCGTCCACAGAAAGACTGGGTTCCGTACGACAATATGGCGGCGCTTAGTTGCCTGTAGGCGGAAACTCTGTGACTTCCGGTCCGTAGTGGGGCCTGCGGTGGGAGGGGGAAGGAAGGCGGAGGGAACCATGCGAGGTTCTGAGATCAGCCGCGAGGGTCGCCTCGAGAGACCGTTTCTGAGGTGGGGGCCGGCCGGTGCGGGGACCAGAGGCAGGGGCGGGGATATCGGGGGAGGGGTATGGGGGAGAGCCAGGCATTGGGTCTGAGGTGAAAGCTGTGATACCTTCCTATCCCTGAAAGGGAGTGGGGCGGCCGGGGGTTGAACTGGGGGAGGGGGATTTGGCGGGAAGCGCGTCTACTGGACCTGCTCGACCCAGGGTTGGGATCTAAGAGGAATCGGGAGAACGCAGCGCGGAGGCTGGGGGGTACTTTTGATCAGGTCACAGAGAGAATGGGGAAAATTAGGGTGGGGTGAGAGGGAGGGGACTTGGAGTAAAATATCTTCAACCTGAAGCCCCAGTTTGAGGAGACTCATCAGAGGGTGAAATATGGAGCCAGTTCAAGGAGGGGAAAAGAGAACGGACTGTTGGGAGGGAACCTCTTTTGCCTCAGAGAGTCTAGAAGTTGGGGTGATCATTCAGGATGGGGTGGGTGTGGGGTTGACATGTTTGAGGACAGACGTGGCAAATACATAAGGTGGCGCCCATAAGAGTGTGTTATCTGTACAAGGGGGTGTCAGGACGATTTGGGGTGCAGTGTGGGAGGAAGACTCAACTTGCCAACTCTGAGAAATAGTGGAGAGACGAAACTGAAAGACCGGAAATCGACGTGAGGGGTGGAGCAGAAGGTGGCAACTTATGGTGTGGGGGTGGTTTGCCCTCCCCACACCACTTGAAGAGCCCGAAAAGCATATAGAACTAATGGTTATTGAAATCAGGTGGTGAAGATAGTTTTGGTCAGGGATGGATGTTACTGAAACCCAAGGAGTTAGGAAAATGTGTGAGGTGAAGGGATGGGGCAATGCTGGAGGGGATCATTCTGAGGCCCCATCCCCTTCCAGCAGGAATTCTGAAATCCCCACCACTTCCTCCGTCTGGGGGATTTGATCCCCCATGGCCACCGCTAACAGCATCATTGTGCTGGATGATGATGACGAAGATGAAGCAGCTGCTCAGCCAGGGCCCTCCCACCCACTCCCCAGTTCGGCCTCGCCTGAGGCAGAAGCCCCTAGCTCCTCTGAGCCTCATGGGGCCAGAGGACGCAGTAGTTCGGGAGGCAAGAAATGCTACAAGTTGGAGAATGAGAAGCTGTTCAAAGAGGTGAGCTTTAGTGGGAAGATTTTTGTACCCCAGGGAGGGGGATGGCTGACTGGCTCTCCTGTCCTTTCTTCCCCACTAACCCCACCACCCCTTTCTCTCAACCCTTCCCTTGTCTCTCTTCCCTTCCCTTCTTCCCCTGAACCTTCCAGTTCCTTGAACTTTGTAAGATGCAGACAGCAGACCACCCTGAGGTGGTCCCATTCCTCTATAGCCGGCAGCAACGTGCCCACTCTCTGTTTTTGGCCTCGGCGGAGTTCTGCAACATCCTCTCTCGGGTCCTATCTCGGGCCCAGAGCCGGCCAGCTAAGCTCTATGTCTACATTAATGAGCTCTGCACTGTTCTCAAGGCCCACTCAGCCAAAAAGAAGCTGAACTTGGCCCCTGCTCTCACCACCTCCAATGAGCCGTCTGGGAATAACTCTCCCACACACCTCTCCTTGGACCCCACAAATGCTGAAAACACTGCCTCTGAGGCCCCAAGGACCCGTGGTTCCCGGCGGCAGATCCAGCGCTTGGAGCAGCTGCTGGCACTCTATGTGGCAGAGATCCGGCGGCTGCAGGAAAAGGAGTTAGATCTCTCGGAATTGGACGACCCAGACTCCACATACCTGCAGGAGGCACGCTTGAAGCGTAAGCTGATCCGCCTCTTTGGGCGACTATGTGAGCTGAAAGACTGCTCTTCACTGACGGGCCGTGTCATAGAGCAGCGCATCCCCTACCGTGGTACCCGCTACCCAGAGGTTAACAGGCGCATTGAGCGGCTCATCAACAAGCCAGGGCCTGATACCTTCCCTGACTATGGAGATGTGCTTCGGGCAGTGGAGAAGGCAGCTGCTCGCCACAGCCTTGGCCTCCCCCGACAGCAACTCCAGCTCATGGCTCAGGATGCCTTCCGAGATGTGGGCATCAGGTTACAGGAACGACGGCACCTCGATCTCATCTACAACTTTGGCTGCCACCTCACAGATGACTATAGGCCAGGTAGGGGGTTAGTGGGATACCTGTCAGTGACCTTTATATGTCAGGTATGAGGCGGATGGGGCATCTCTCTAGTCCTTTCTAGGGTTTGTACTCTTCTAGGCCCTTCAAGGGCTGAGTGCTCTGACTTTATGTCTTCCCATGTAGGCATTGACCCTGCGCTGTCAGATCCTGTGTTGGCCCGGCGCCTTCGGGAAAACCGGAGTTTGGCCATGAGTCGGTTGGATGAGGTCATCTCCAAATATGCAATGTTGCAAGACAAAAGTGAGGAGGGCGAGAGGAAAAAGAGAAGAGCTCGGCTCCAAGGCACCTGTTCCTCCTCTGCAGACATCCCCAATGCCTCCTTGGATTCTGGTGAGGTGTGGATGGGGTACAGCCTTCAGAGAGACTTTCTCCTTCCCCTGCACTGGCCACCAGGGAGTCCAGGTTGACTGATGGGGGAGTATGAAAAGGAATGCAAGAATCAAACCCTCTGGGGCAAGGGATTCCTTAGAGAAACTTCTTTGTCCCCAGGGCCCTAGTGGAATGGCATCCCAGGGGTGCCCTTCCACCTCCAGAGCTGAGACAGATGATGAAGATGAGGAAAGTGATGAGGAAGAGGAGGAGGAGGAGGAGGAGGAGGAGGAAGAGGAGGAGGCCACAGATTCTGAAGAGGAGGAGGATCTGGAACAGATGCAGGATGGTCAGGAGGACGATGAAGAGGAGGAAGAAGAGGAAGAGGAAGAAGCAGGTAAGTCAAGGAAACATTATCCACACCTGTCATTTCTGTTTTCTTAGGCATAAGCCACCTGTTTGAGACCTTTTCCTTCCTCCTCCTAGTGTCCTCTCAGCAGTATTTTTTCCCCTCATTCTCAAGCTACCCCCTCTCCTTTTCTTCTTTTCCAGATAAAGGTGGAGACAGGAGCCCTGTGTCTTCACCACAGATCTCTACTGAAAAGAACCTGGAACCTGGCAAAGAGATCAGCAGGTCTTCAGGGGAGCAGCAAAATGAAGGACTCACAGTGTCACCATCATTACTGTCAGAAGAACCCCTGGCCCCCTCCAGCATAGATGCTGAAAGCAATGGAGAACGGCCTGAGGAGTTGACCCTGGAGGAAGAAAGCCCTATATCTCAGCTCTTTGAGCTAGAGATTGAAGCTTTGCCCCTGGATACCACCCCTTCCTCTGTGGAGACGGACATTTCCTCTTCCAGGAAGCAGTCAGAGGACTCCCTCACCACTGTTTTAGAGAATGGGGCAGGCATGGTCTCTTCTACTTCCTTCAATGGAGGCGTCTCTCCTCACAACTGGGGAGATTCTGGCCCCCCCTGCAAAAAATCTCGGAAGGAGAAGAAGCAAACAGGATCAGGGCCATTAGGAAACAGGTAATAACAACAGGAGGAGGAAGAGGGAAGGAGGAGGAAGAGTTCCCTGAAAGGAGGGATTGCAGGGGACTTTCGGAGAGGAATATGGGGGAACTGAGTCTGTTGGGAGAGACTGGACTGTTTCCCTCCAGCCTCAGTCTTCCTGTACCCCTCCACATATTTATGTTTCTGTTCCTAGCTATGTGGAAAGGCGAAGGTCAGTGCATGAGAAGAATGGGAAAAAGATATGTACCCTGCCCAGCCCACCTTCCCCCTTGGCTTCCTTGGCCCCGGTTGCTGATTCCTCCACAAGGGTAGACTCTCCCAGCCATGGCCTTGTGACCAGCTCCCTCTGCGTCCCTTCTCCAGCCCGGCTGTCCCAAACCCCCCAGTCACAACCTCCCCAGCCTGGTACTTACAAGGTAAGAAGGGGAGGCTGGGTTTCCTCTGATAATTTGTTCTCTTTCATTGTCTGTTTCAGCTGCTCTGTCTGAATATTTCACCCTCCACATTCTCTGTCTCGCTTTTTCCCACCTACGTTTTATCCTCTAAATCCTCCTGTCTGTTTCTTTTCCCCTGTACTCCATATCTCTCTGACTCTGTCTCTCACTTCCCTGCAGACGAGTGTGGCCACACAGTGTGATCCAGAGGAGATCATCGTGCTTTCAGACTCTGATTAGCTGCCTCCCCTTCTCCCCGCCTCCAAAATGTTTTGGGATAGCATTTGGAGGATGGTGGGAAGCAGATGACTGAGCAAAGGATGGACTGAGCTAATCCCCTGTTGGTGTTTCTTTTAAAAAAAAAAAACTTAAGTTTTACACAGAAACATTAATAAACAATAAACTTCTTTTCTTATTGTATCACTGTCTTTTCCTTCTGTGGTCATGGATTGGCATTAGCTGTCCCTTTCCTTGCTCATGGTTTGCCCGATGTTCCCGGGGTAGTCCTGATCTGTCCTTTCTAACCTGGTCTTTTTTTTTCTTTCTTTTTTTGTGTCTCATCTTATCACCCAGGCCAGAGTGCAGTGGTGTGATCACAGCTCACTGCAGCCTGGACTTCCCGGTCTCAAGTGATAATGCCTCAGCCTCCCCAGTAGCTGGGACTACAGGCACGCGCCACCACACTTTGCTAATTTTTGTCGTTTGTAGTTTTTGTAGATACGGGGTTTCGCCATGTTTTTCAGGCTGTACTTTTTTTTTTAAAGTGCTTCAGCCGCCTTAACGCACTTTACTTTTTCAGTTCTTGCAGTTGGAGTGAAAAAGCCAATGAGAGACCGACTCAAGGTTATTCGGCCAATCCAGGCCCGGAGACGGGGGGCGGGGCTTCAGGGGAAATGTCAGGAGCTAGGAAGGAGGCGATTAGATCTCACCAACCAGCTAATGGTCACAGCTCAGAGGCGGAGCCTGGGGAACGGTGCCTGGACCCGTCGCCAATGGGAAAAGGCAGGCTTGTAGCTTTAAAGGGGAATAAATGCTTCGGCCGAACCAAGTCCTGAGTTCCCAGCGGAGGAGGGGACCTGATCCTTTAAGGTGGAATGAGGCGACGGTTCTTTAAAGGCAAAGTGGCCGAGTCGGCCGAGTATTGCCCAGCGGCGCGGGCGGGGTGCCCGGCTGTGCCTTTAAAGTCGGAGGGGCGGGAGGCGGAGCGGAGGCGGAGGGCGGAGGGAGTCGGCGCAAGATGGCGGCGGGAGGGGCTCAGGCTGCAGCTCTGGCCGCCGAGTGAGGGGCGGGGGGGGCCCGGGGGCGCGCGGCCCGGTAAGCGGGGACGCGCGAGGTTGGGGGGCGCCTTCCGGGTGGGAGAAGAGGCCGAGGTAGCGCCTGGGGCGGAGCGGGGGGGGGCGGGGTCCGGTGTGGGCGGAGGTTAGACAAGGGGCGGGGTCGAAAGGCCCGAAAGTGGGCGGGGCACGGGGCGAGCCTGGAAAGGGGCGGGGCTAGGTAGGAGCTGGGGCGAAAGGGGGCGTGGTCGGCGAGAGAGCTGGGGGGCATAGCCTGAGGGGGAGATTGAACAGAGGGTTGGTTTTCAGTAGAGGAGCTGCCCTGCCCCCTCCCAAAAAATGGGTACAAACGCCAAAAAGGTAGATTTTGGAATGTCAGGCGCTCAGGTAAATGGGAAATAGGGTATAATTCCGAAGAAGGCACACCAGCCCCTAAGAGCGCCTTCTTTCTCTATAATCTCCAAGGAAAGGGCTCAGGATTTGTCAGATACTTGTGTTTGCTAGCGCCGCCACTTACTGACTGTGTGACCTTGAATAATCTCTTAATCTTTCTGAGCCTTAGTTTCCTCCTCTGTTAAATGGGGTTGAGAGTAATACCACACGGTTGTGGGGAATTACGCAGATAATGAGTGTAAACTGGCTGTGTCATTATGAGATTTATCATTATTATTTTCTCTCTTTCTTCCCAGAGACCCCCCCGGCCGCCCTCCTCCTTCCTTTGTACCTGTGGCTGGGGGGGTATCCCCTCCCTCCACAACATGGAGCCATCTCCTCTGTCTCCCAGTGGGGCAGCACTCCCCCTGCCGTTGTCGCTGGCTCCACCCCCACTACCCCTGCCAGCAGCTGCAGTGGTACATGTGTCCTTCCCTGAGGTGACCAGTGCCCTCCTGGAGTCCCTCAATCAGCAGCGTCTTCAGGGCCAGCTCTGTGATGTGTCTATCCGAGTACAGGGCCGGGAGTTCCGGGCTCATCGGGCTGTGCTGGCTGCCTCCTCCCCTTACTTCCATGATCAGGTCCTACTCAAGGGCATGACCTCCATCTCGCTGCCCAGTGTCATGGACCCAGGCGCCTTCGAGACTGTCCTAGCTTCCGCTTACACTGGCCGCCTTAGCATGGCTGCTGCTGACATTGTCAACTTCCTCACGGTGGGGTCTGTGCTCCAAATGTGGCACATTGTGGACAAGTGCACTGAACTACTCCGAGAAGGCCGGGCTTCAGCTACCACCACCGTCACTACTGCTGCAGCCACCTCTGTCACTGTCCCTGGTGCTGGGGTCCCATCCGGGAGTGGGGGCACTGTGGTCCCTTCTACCATGGGCTCTGTGCGCTCCCATGCCTCCAGCCGAGCCAGTGAGAATCAGTCTCCCAGCAGCAGCAACTACTTCAGCCCCAGGGAGTCCACTGATTTCTCATCTTCCTCCCAAGAGGCATTTGCAGCTTCTGCAGTGGGCAGTGGGGAGCGTCGAGGAGGTGGCCCTGTATTCCCAGCCCCTGTCGTTGGCAGTGGGGGCGCCACCTCTGGGAAGCTGCTGCTGGAGGCAGATGAACTGTGCGATGACGGTGGGGATGGAAGGGGGGCAGTGGTCCCTGGGACTGGGCTCAGGAGACCCACCTACACACCCCCTAGCATCATGCCACAGAAACACTGGGTATATGTGAAGCGAGGTGGTAATTGCCCAGCACCAGCACCCCTGGTTCCCCAAGACCCAGATCTGGAGGAGGAAGAAGAGGAGGAAGACCTGGTGTTGACCTGTGAGGATGATGAAGATGAAGAGCTAGGGGGTAGCTCCAGGGTTCCAGCTGGGGGAGGGCCTGAGGCTACCCTCAGCATAAGTGATGTCCGTACCCTGAGTGAGCCCCCAGACAAGGGGGAGGAGCAGGTCAACTTCTGTGAGTCCTCCAATGACTTTGGCCCCTATGAGGGTGGGGGTCCTGGAGCAGGTCTTGATGACTCAGGGGGGCCAACTCCCTCTTCCTATGCCCCCTCCCACGCTCCTCGACCGCTCCTTCCCTTGGACATGCAGGGCAACCAGATCCTGGTCTTCCCATCGTCTTCATCCTCCTCACAGGCTCCTGGCCAACCACCAGGGAACCAAGTAGAACACGGGGCAGTGACCCTGGGGGGCACGTCCGTGGGAGGCCTGGGGGTCCCTGGTAGCGCTGGTGGGGTTCCTGGAGGGACTGGTAGTGGGGATGGGAATAAGATCTTTCTGTGCCATTGTGGGAAGGCCTTCTCCCACAAGAGCATGCGGGACCGGCACGTGAACATGCACCTCAATCTGCGGCCCTTTGACTGCCCCGTGTGCAACAAAAAGTTCAAGATGAAGCACCATCTGACTGAGCACATGAAGACGCACACAGGTCTCAAGCCCTATGAGTGCGGTGTCTGCGCCAAGAAGTTCATGTGGCGGGACAGCTTCATGCGCCACCGAGGACACTGTGAGCGCCGGCACCGCCTGGGTGGCGGCGGGGCTGGACCTGGGCCTGGGACGCCCACGGGGCCAACCTTGCCGGCCAAGAGAGAATCCCCCGGAACAGGTGGGGGCAGCGGCGACGAGGCGAGTGCGGCCACGCCCCCGTCCAGCAGACGAGTGTGGTCCCCACCCAGCGTCCACAAGGTGGAGATGGGCTTCAGTGGAGGCGGAGGAGCAAACTGAAGGGGCAGCCTACTGGGGTGGGGGTAGCTTTTGGGGAAGAGGGAATAAGCACGATCCAACGGCGGTTTGGCCCCCAGTGGGTCTCCCACCACAATTACTGTCTTCCTTTATCTCTATGGACTTGTATATATGCTGGGAAGGGGAACCGCAGTTGCACCATCGCCCGCCCATTCTACTCCTCAACCCCTTCCTCCCAAGGAATTTCTGGAACTAAGCCCTTCCTTTCCCTCTTATGGGTACACTGAAGCCCCGGCTCCACAGAGTAGGGTGCACATGGAGGGAGGGAGAGGGGGCGTGTTGTGCATCCTGCAGTCACAGGGTCAAGGGTCAGGTGGTTGTAGTCTGTGCCTGAAGTCTGTGTTTGTGTTGTCTTGGGACCAGGCCTTTGAGCCCCACCCTTGTCCTAAAACCTACCCCATCTCAAGGATGCGCTCTTTATTCTACCCTGTCTCTCCCCACCCACCCCACCTCCCGGGGAAATCCCCAACTCGGTTCTCTTAGAGGAGTGGGTGGAGACAAGGAGGGAGTAAGTAGTAGGAGTACAAGGTTTTTATTTTTTTTAACAGTGATTAAAATATTTATTGGTCATTTACTTGGCTTCCCGACAACCCATGTGTTTGCTGGGGACGCGGCACAGGTGGAGAAAACCCGGAGTAATGGTTCTCGGGAAAGTGGATGCTGGAGGGCGCACACAGGAGTGGGTGGGGGGTGCTGGGTTTGGGGAGGGCTGAAACTCGTGGCTGCTGGGTGGTCCAGGAGGGCAAGGCTGGGGTGTCCTGACGATAACTGGAGAGGCTCTTCCCGGATCCCTCCCTGGCCAGCAGGGAAATACCGGTCTCCCAGGCACCCACACCTAACCAGAGCGGGGATTTCCACCGCCCCTCCTGCCGTCCTTTGGAGGAAAGTGAAAGTGAAAGGAGGAAGAGGAGGCTTCATGGCTGAGGAGATCGCAGCGCCATGAAGTCCCTGTCTCTGGTCCTTGCTATAGCTTTGGGTGAGCGAACCCCGCGACTCATCGCCCAAGAACTAGAGGGAAGCGGAGGGAGGTGGCCCCACTGGCGCCGACGCCAGAGTGGGAGTGGGCAGGTCACCAGACATCTAAGCCGCCCCTGACTTGCGCCCCTATATGCCAGGCCTGGCGACCGCCGTCTCGGCAGGACCGGCGGCGATCGAGTGTTGGCTCGTGGAGGATGCGAGCGGAAAGGGCCTGGCCAAGAGACCTGCTGCACTGCTGTTGCGCCAGGGGACTGGGGGACCGCCGCCCCGGCCGGACCTCGACCCTGAGCTCTACCTCAATGTGCACGGTGAGTCTTTAGGGACTCGCCGCTCCCCTATGTCTGTCACCTCCACAGAAACCCCCTCCTCTTTAGATCGGGCAGTGACTTCGGGGCCTCAGCTTCCCCTCTATAAAGTGAGTCTCACTATGGGGTAGTCTGTACATTTGAAGTTCCGCGAACCCTGTCCTTCCAGCCCCTTTCCCGCCCTTGACTCTACAGCTGCAACTTCCTTCTCTACACTCAGACCCCGCGGGCGCCCTCCAGGCTGCCTTCAGGCGGTATCCCCGGGGCGCCCCCGCGCCACACTGCGAGATGAGCCGCTTTGTCCCTCTCCCTGCCTCTGCGAACTGGGCCAGCGGCCTGACCCCGGAACAGAACTGCCCGCGGGCCCTGGATGGGGCTTGGCTGATGGTCAGCATGTCCAGCCCAGTCCTCAGCCTCTCCAGCCTTTTGCGACCACAACCAGAGCCTCAGCAGGAGCCTGTTCTCATCACCATGGCAACAGGTACGGGAGGGGAGGTGGAGAAGGATGGGTAGATTCTAAGGGTCCAGATCAGCCGGTGGACTCGTTTTATGTACTTGAGCCAGACATTTCGCCAATCGGGGTTCCGTTTCCTTTTTTAGTTAAGAGAGATGGCTTGGCTAGAATCAATCAATCTCTACTGCTCCTTCTAGCCCTCACTCAGTTAAAAAAACAACAACAACAACAACAAAAAACTGCGACTGGGAGGGGAGGAGGTTACTTTGTTTCGAAGGGCGGGGCTTTGGAAAGGTGGGGTTTCTCTACACCAGACCTTGAGAGACTTGTCAGGTGATGCGAGGTGGGAGGAGTCCAGAAGCAGGAGCGTTTTTTTCTCTGCTCCTCCCAGATCTGTATCTTGCTAGGCACCCTCCGCTTTGAGGTTCACTCCATTTCGAAAACCGTAGCCCCACCTTCTCCCACACCCGGCGCTGCGGCAATCCTCAAAGCAAAGGCTCTTGCACTCTAGCGCTTGGACCTTCCCTGACAGCCGCTTGTGGGGATGTGCTGCCTCTCTGTGGTCCGAAAACAAGTGGGCTGGAGTGGGCGGAGCGAGGCGGCGGGAGATCAGATGGTTCCTATTGCATTAAAGGGTGCATTGCACTTTGAGGCCCAGGGGTCGGATGCTTTGCTGGACTGGGTCGCGGGAGGGAGTGTGCAGATAATTCAAGAATGAGGAGGATCCGGGTCAGATCCTCCTCATTCTTGAATTATCTGCACATTCCCTCCGGTGTCCCTGAACTCTCTCTCCTGGCAGCAGAGGCAGGAGTAGAATACAGGTAGAGTTCTTAACTTTTCTATCTGGATTTTATGTAAGCAACACAGCCTGATGGACAGGTAAACCCCAACCAAGCCCTGCACCCTCCCTCCTCTCCACCCTCCTCTCTGAGAATGACCCACAGAACCAGGGAGACAGACTCGAACCCCACACTGAAACCCTCACCTTTGCCTATACCTCCATTCTTAGTTTTAAGCCCCAACCCTGGCAGAAATTGAGGAACACCGCTCTTGTGTAGACAGGCGCTCTCTGGGGTCAGGGCTTGGGGGAGAAATATTTCCTAGGGCTACCGGCTTCATGGAGGTGATGATAAGAATGTTCTTTGCTTTCTGAGTTTGTTTTTCCAACTGTAAAATGTAGGTACTATTTCCCAGCTGCCTTTCTTGTTGTGACTATCAAGAGAGGCACTGTGGCCGGGCGCGGTGGCTCACGCCTGTAATCCCAGCACTTTGGAAGGCTGAGGTGGGTGGATCACAAGGTCAGGAGTTCAAGACCAGCCTGGCCAAAATGGTGAAACCCCCATCTCTATAAAAAAAAAAAAAAAAAAAAAAAAAGGCACTGTGTTAATTTATTCATTGATTCAATAAATACTTATTAGCACCAAGAATGAGTTAGGACTCAGTAGTTCTCAGTGCAGGCTGCAAATAAGAATCACATTGGGGCTGGGTGCGGTGGTTGACATCTGTAATCCCAGCACTTTGGGAGGCTGAGGCAGGTCGATTACCTGAGATTGGGAGTTTGAGACCAGCTTGGCCAACATGGTGAAACCCAATGGGTTTTTCTACTGAAAATACAAAAATTAGCCAGGCACAGTGGCATGTGCATATAGTCCCAGCTACTTGGGAGACTGAGGCAGGAGAATCACTTGAACCTGGGAGGCGGAGGTTGCAGTGAGCCAAGATCCACTGCACTCCATCCTGGGCAACAGAGTGAGACTCCGTTTCAAAAAGAAAAAAAAAGAAAAATCCTGCTGGAAGTTTCTAAAATATACTGAAACCTGAGTCAATCCATGTTTGGCTCGACCGATTAAATCAGAATCTCTGGGATGGCCTTGGGTACTCTTCAGGGTCACAAAGATGATCTGATGTAGATTCTGCTCTCCAGGAAGTTCAGGGCAGATTTGCCACAGATAGTCTTTTTTTTTTTTTTTTTTTGAGGCAGAGTTTCGCTCTTGTTACCCAGGCTGGAGTGCAAAGGCATGATTGCGGCTCATCGCAACCTCCGCCCCCTGGGTTCAGGCAATTCTCCTGCCTCAGCCTCCTGAGTAGCTGGGATTACAGGCACGCGCCACCATGCCCAGCTAATGTTTTGTATTTTTAGTAGAGACGGGGTTTCACCATGTTGACCAGGATGGTCTCATGATCCACCACCTGCCTCGGCCTCCCAAAGTGCTGGGATCACAGGCTTGAGCCACGGGGCCAGGCAAGATATTCTTAATGTTAAGTAGAAAGTGAAGGACGTGCAGACAGGGAGCCCTGGAAGTGCCCTGGTGGGTAAGATTGCCTGTATCTCATAGACAACTAGGGTAACATCCATTTATTTATATTTTGGAAATAGAGTCTCACTCTGGCTGGAGTGCCATGGCACGATCTTGGCTCACTGCAGCCTCTGCCTTCTGGGTTCAAGTGATTCTTCTGCCTCAGCCTCCTGAGTAGCTGGGATTACAGGCATTAACCACCATGCCTGGCTAATTTTTGTATTTTTAGTAGAGACAGGGTTTCACCGCTGGGTGCAGTGGCTCACACCTGTAATCCCAGCACTTTGGGAGGCTGAGGCAGGTGGATCATGAGGTCAAGAGATTGAGACCATCCTGGCCAACATAGTGAAACCCCGTCTCTACTAAAAATACAAAATTAGCTGGTTGTGGTGGCGCAAGCCTGTAGTCCCAGCTACTTGGAGGCTGAGGCAGGAGAATCGCTTAAAAGAAAAAAAACAACCCGGGAGGTAGAGGTTGCAGTGAGCCGAGATTGCGCCATTGCATTCCAGCCTGGCAAGAGAGCGAGACTCCATCTCAAAAAAAAAAAAGAGAGAGAGAGGGAGAAATAAGGTTTCACTATATTGGCCAGGCTGGTCTTGAGCTCCTGACCTTGTGATTCACCCACCCTGGCCTCCCAAAGTGCTGGGATTATAGGCGTGAGCCACTGTGCCCGGCCCTATTTATTTATTTTTGAGACAGCATCTCCCTCTTGTCATCTGGGCTGGAGTGCAACCTCCACCTCCCAGGTTCAAGCAATTCTCCTGCCTCAGCCTCCCAAGTAGCTGGGATTACAGGCACATGCCACCACACCCAGCTAATTTTTTGTCTTTTAAATAGAGATGGGGTTTCACTATGTTGGCCAGGCTGGTCTCAAACTCCTGACCTCAGGCGATCCACCTGCCTCAGACTCCCAAAGTGCTAGGATTACAGGCATGAGCCACTGCACCTGGCCTAATTTTTGTATTTTTCTGTTTTTTTTTTTTCTTTTTTAATTTTTTGTATTTTTAATAGAGATGGGGTTTCACCATGTTGGCCAGGCTGGTCTTGAACTCCTGACCTCAAGTGATCAGCCCACCTTCGCCTTCCAAACTGCTGGGATTAAAGGGGTGAGCCCTGTGATGCCCGGCCTGTGGATCTTTTTTTTTTTTTTTAAAGACGAACTTTCACTCTTGTTGCCCAGGCTGGAGTACAATGGTGCGATCTCGGCTCACTGAAACCGCAGCTCAACACAACCTCCGCCTCCCAGGTTCAAGTGATTCTCCTGCCTCAGCCTCCCGAGTAGCTGGGATTACAGGCATGCACCACCATGCCCGGCTACTTTTTTTTTTTGAGATGGAGTCTCACTCTGTCACCCAGACTAGAGTGCAGTGGTGCGATCTCAGCTCACTTCAGTCTCCCCTCCCAGGTTCAAACTATTCTCCTGCCTCAGCCTTTCAAGTAGCTGGGATTACAGGTGCCCACCACCAAGCCTGGCTAATTTTTATATTTTTAGTAGAGACAGGGTTTCACCATATTGGTCAGGCTGGTAACTCTTAACCTTGTGATCCACCCACCTCAGCATCACAAAGTGCTGGGATTACAGGTGTGAGCCACCGTGCCCAGCCTAAATTTGCATTTTTAGTAGAGATGGGTTTCTCTATATTGGTCAGGCTGGTCTCAAGCTCCCAACCTCAGGTGATCCGCTCACCTCAGCCTCCCAAAGTGCTGGGATTATAGGCCTGAGCCCCTGAGCCCCTGAGCCCAGCCTGTGGATCTTGTTTTTAACAATTCAAAAGCATGTTTCTGGATTCTGACAAATTAAGTGAAGTTGCATACCTTTTTTACTCCACTGAACAGTTCCATGAAGCCGAGAACAGTTTCACCTTATAGGCCTCAGAAGCTAGGATTAAAAAGAACATAAAGATAATTATAAGAAGAAAAAGATTACTTCTACCTGAAGGATCTAGACATTTCTGGGAAGAAACAGAGGTGAAAGTGACCTTAAAGTACATGGAGCATTTAGATCAGGGGTGTCCAATTTTTGGCTTCCCAAAGCAACGCTGGAAGATTAATTTTCTTGAGCCACACATAAAATACACTAACACTACGATAGCTGATGAGCTAAAAAAAAAAAAATTGCAAAGTGCTGGGCGCCGTGGCTCATGCCTGTAATCCTAGCACTTTGGGAGGCTGAGGCAGGTGGATCACAAGAACAAGAGATGAAGACCATCCTGGCCAACATGGTGAGACCCCATCTCAAAAAAAAAAAATCGAGAAAAATATAATGTTTTAAGAAAAATTATGAATTTGTGTTGGGCTGCATTCAAAGCCATCCTTGGTTGCATATGGCCTGTGGGCTGGAGGTTCAACAAGCTTGATAGATGTTTGGGAGAAAATGGGAAAGACACTGTAAACTAAAGGGACCTCATGACCAAAGCAAAGAGATGCTCAGTGATGAGCACTTCTACTAGGCACAAGAAAGGGGTTCTATGTGGCTGGTTTGTAGGGTACAGGAGGAGTCTGGAAGGGTGGCTTAGGAGCTGAATGTGCAAATACCTTGAAAGCTGGGCTTTTTTCTCTAGGTAAGAGTGAGCCATCAAAAGTTTTTTTGAAGGGTGTCATTCTAAAAAGCCTTTTTTTTTTTTTTAGAATATTAGCTTTTTTTTTTACCCAGGCTAGAGTGCAATGGTGCGATCTTGGCTTGCCGCAACCTCCGCCTCCTGGGTTCAGGCAATTCTCCTGCCTCAGCCTCCTGAGTAGCTGGGGTTACAGGTGCACGCCACCATGCCCAGCTAATTTTTTTTTTTGTATTTTTAGTAGAGATGGGGTTTCACCATGTTGACCGGGATGGTCTCGATCTCTTGACCTCGTGATCCACCTGCCTTGGCCTCCCAAAGTGCTGGGATTACAGGCATGAGCCACCGCGCCTGGCCCTAAAAAGCCTTTTTTTTTTTTTTTTTTTTTAAAAAACTATGTATGTATTTATTTATTTTTTGAGATGGAGTGTCGCTCTTGTTGCCTACACTAGAATGCAATGGAGCAATCTTGGCTCATTGCAACCTCCGCCTCCTGGGTTCAAGCAGTTCTCCTGCCTCAGCCTTCTGAGTAGTTGGGATTACAGGCACCGCCACCACCCCCAACTAATATTTTTTTGTATTTTTAGTAGAGATGGGGTTTCATCATGTTGGCCAGGCTGGTCTCGAACTCCTGACCTCAGGTAATCCACCCACCTCAGCCTCCCAAAGTGCTGGGACTACAGGCGTGAGCCACTGCACCCAGAAAAAGCCTGTTATTTTAACTTTTTTTTTTTTTTTAAAGATAGGCAAGAATCAGATCGTTGGACTAGTGAGGAAAATATAGACTGATTTTCCCAAGTTAACCAGCAAGTCCATGACAATGATGAAGGTAATGGAAATAGTAGCAGCTAACATTTACTGAGCATTTTCTTTATGTCAGGCCCTGTTCTAGGCACTTCATACACATAATCTGACTTATTCCTCTCAACAACCGTAAGCTGTAGATTTTAATATTATTCCTATATTGTAGACAAAGAAATATGAGACACAAACCAGTTAAATGATTTACCCAAGGACACGCAGTGTGTAAGAAGCAGGGCTAGAAAGTGAACCCAGGCCATGTAGCTTCAGCCTATGCCCTTTATTGGCAGATTTCCAAGGCATTTAGGATTTTACTTTAATTTTATTTTTTTGAGACAGAGTCTCACTCACCCAGCCTGGAGTGCAATGGCATGATCTCAGCTCACCGCAACCTCCACCTCCCTGGTTCAAGTGATTCTTCTGCCTCAGCCTCCCAAGTAGCTGGGACTACAGGTGCACGCCACCATGCCTGGCTAATTTTTGTATTTATAGTAGAGACGAAGTTTCGCCATGTTGGCCAGGCTGGTCTTGAACTCCTGACCTCAGGTGATCCACCTGCCTTGGCCTCCCAGTGCTGGGATTACAGGCGTGAGCCACCGTTCCTGCGTATTTGGGATTTTTGAACAGGCAAGTGATGGGATCAGACTTGCAGTCACCTTGTTTGGCTACAGTGTGAAAGGAGCTGAAGGAGACAGAGACTGAGAATAGAAAGACCAGACAGGAGGGCTGTTGAATTGTCCAATTGTACGTTGATGAGAGCCTGAGTTGGAAGCAGATATGAGATCTGTTAGGTCCTGGTGGAGATAGCACAAAGCACGTTATTTTTGACAATTTGCTTGTCTATCATTGGACTGTAGGTAATTTGAGGGCAGGGACTCCCTGTCTTGTTCACTACTCTGTCGTCTACCAGGATACCTTGAACATCTTCAGTGCTCAATAGCTGCTGAATGAAGAAATGAGTCTGAGTAACTTAAAGGGTTTGCTTTTAGTGTCTGGCAGGCTTGGTGATTATTCAACAAAGGAAGGGAAGATGGGCATTGGAGCAGGGTGGGGAGTGTTGCAGAGATGCTCTTGACTTGGGGTATGCTAAGTTAGGTGTAACTACAGCAAACACATGTGTAGACTTACTGTGTTCCAGTGTTCTAAGCGCCCTTCATATGTATGTGTCTCTGTTATCTAAAATTGGGAACTGAATAGATTTGAGTAGCAAGAGGTATTAATGATTTAACCTTCACAACAACCTTATGAAGTAGGTACTATTATTATCATCATCTTTTAATTTTAGAAATTAGGAAGCTAGACCAGGTGTGGTGGCTCACGCCTATAATCTCAGCACTTTGAGAGGCCGAGACAGGCGGATCACCTGAGGTCGGGAGTTCAAGAACAGCCTGACCAACATGGAGAAACCCCGTCTGTACTAAAAATACAAAAAAATTAGCTGGGTGTGGTGGCACATGCCTGTAATCCCAGCTACTTGGGAGGCTGAGGCAGGAGAATCGCTTGAATCCAGGAAGCAGAGGTTGCAGTGAGCTGAGATCGCGCCACTGCACTCCAGCCTGGGCAACAAGAGTGAAACTTCGTCTCCAAAAAAAAGCAGGATTAGGAAGCTGAGCCATGGAAAAATGAAGTGGCCCAAGGCCATATAATAAGCTTCAGAGGGGAATTGAACCAGGTCAGCCAGGCTCCAGGCCCTTAGCCACTGCACTGTACTGCTTCAGTAGAGCATAGAGGTCTGTGCTCAGGTCTAGACTAGAGCTAGAACCTTCTAGAGTCTAAATATTCTGTATAGCACCACAAGACTGACAGTCATGGCTCAATCACTGTCTTCCTCAGTAATCAAGAAAGGCCTGCTTCCTCAAGGCTGGTGCTTGGAGACTAGAGTGGTTCAGGTTGTATCAGAAGTGCCCTCAGATTCTGCAGTCCCCAGAGCGTGAGTGGGCTATGTGTTCAGAGCAGGCTTCAAAGGCCATACCCCCTCATTGCCCATACTCACCACCCCTAGACATCTCTGCACACCCTCAGTCACACTAGGTCCCACCCAGTCCCAGAGCAAAAGGAGTTTGCAGGGAGGGCTAGGAGATGGTGAGTATCAGAAAAGGTGTCCTCTGAGAGGTGGGCAAACTGCAGTTTGGTCCTCCCCAATAAGTGCATTTCTCTTTTTTTTCCCCTTTCTTTCTCTCCCACATCCCCGTCTTCCTCAGTGGTACTGACTGTCCTCACCCACACCCCTGCTCCTCGAGTAAGACTGGGACAAGATGCTATGCTGGACTTGAGCTTTGCCTACATGCCTCCCACCTCTGAGGCTGCCTCATCTCTGGCTCTGGGTCCCCCTCCCTTTGGGCTAGAGTGGCGACGCCAGCACCTGGGTAAGGGTCATCTGCTCCTGGCTGCAACTCCTGGGCTGGATGGGCAGATGCCAGCCACCCAAGAAGGGGCAGTGGCATTTGCTGCTTGGGATGATGATGAGCCATGGGGCCCATGGACCGGAAATGGAACCTTCTGGCTGCCTAGAGTTCAACCCTTTCAGGAGGGCACCTATCTGGCCACTGTACACCTGCCATACCTGCAAGGACAGGTCACCCTGGAGCTTGCTGTGTACAGTGAGTAGGGGGATGGAGTCTTCAGGGGTAAAGAGGGTGGGCACTGGATTGTGGGTACTGTGATGGGGGAGGGATGATAGAGAAGAGGGTGCCTGGGTGAGTGAGTAGAGATACAAAGGGGTTCCTGGGAGTCAGAGGGGTAATGGGAGGCTAGAAGGTTCCTGGGAATTTGAGGGGCTTTGGCATGGGTATTCCTGTGATGCACCAATAGAGAGACAGTGGGTTCCCCACTGGAGGAGAAGAAACCCAACCTTCTTTAGCTCTGAGGAAACCAAAAGGCAAACCGAGGGTCTTTTAGGGAGGACAGTATGGACTGATTTCCCCATGCTCATTTCCTTCTCTTTCCTCAGAACCCCCCAAAGTGTCCCTGATGCCAGCACCCCTTGCATGGGCCGCCCCAGGGGAGGCACCCCCAGAGTTGGTCTGCCTTGTCTCCCACTTCTACCCTTCTGGGGGCCTGGAGGTGGAGTGGGAACTCCGGGGTGGCCCAGGGGGCCGCTCTCAGAAGGCTGAGGGGCAGAGGTGGCTGTCAGGCCTACGCCACCATTCTGATGGCTCTGTCAGCCTCTCTGGGCACTTGCAACCGCCCCCAGTCACCACTGAGCAGCATGGGGCACGCTATGCCTGTCGAATCCACCATCCCAGCCTGCCTGCCTCAGGGCGCAGCGCTGAGGTCACCCTGGAGGTAGCAGGTAAGAGCTGGGAGCTCTGGGAGCCTGAGCCGGCACCTGGGAAGACAGGAGCTCACTCTCTCCCCTTCTGCTTGCCAGGTCTCTCAGGGCCCTCCCTTGAGGACAGCGTAGGCCTTTTCCTGTCTGCCTTTTTTCTGCTTGGGCTCATCAAGGTGCTGTGCTGGGCTGGTGAGTGTGAGCCCCACCTTGACTATGACCTGAGGCTGGTGAACTTTCCCCATCTACTCCAAGGAGCCTGACACCCCCCTCCCTCCACCCTCCCCCTGTACCACTCTACCATCCAATCCCTTCTCAATTTTCCCCCACAGCTCTCTACCTGTCCACCTGCAAGGATGCAAAGGAGAAGGTACAGTGTTCCACCTCTCTGTGTCTTTCCCTTGTCATTTTATCTCCTCATCCTATCTCAAAACCTATGGAGGGAGGCTGCTGGTGTGGTAGGCAGAACCCAGGCTTGGAATTCACACTGATCTGGGTTAAAACCTGGCACTATATCCTAACTGTAGGACTCTTTGAGCATGCTACTTAATCTATATCTGTTTCCTTGGGTGTAGGGATTTTAAAAAATTATGTAGGCAGTGCTGTCCATTAGAAAGATAATGCAAGCCACATATGTAAATTTAAATAATCTAGTAGTCACATTAAAAAAAATAAGCAGAAACAGTTAAAATTAATTTAATAATATACTTTATCTAATAATTCTGGTCCCTTATATGGAATGCTGAGAAAAAGAAGTGTTTTTGGATGTTGGATTTTTTTAGAATTTGGAATATTTGCATATACATATAATGAGATATCTTCTGGATCAGACCCAAATCTAAACACACAATTTATTTATGTTTCCTATATGCCTTATAAACATAGCCTGAAGTTTTCGTACTTTTTTTTTTGAGACAGTCTTGCTCTGTCAGCCAGGCTGGAGCGCAGTGGTGCAATCTCAGCTCACTGCAACCACCACCTCCTGGGTTCAAGTCATTCTTGTGCCTCAGCCTCTCCAGTAGCTGGGAATACAGTCATGTGGCACCACACCTAGCTAATTTTTGTATTTTTAGTAGGGACAGGGTTTTACCATGTTGGCCAGGCTGGTCTCAAACTCCTGGCCTTAAATGATCCACTGGCTTCCGCCTTCCAAAGTGCTAGGATTATAGGCCTGAGCCACTGTGCCCAATCTTTATACAATTTTTTTTTTGAGACACAGTCTTACTCTGTTGCCAGGCACCAGGCTGGAGTGCAGTGGCGCGATCTCAGCTCACTGCAACTTCCACCTCTTGGGTTCAAACAATTCTCCTGCCTCATCCTCCTGAGTAGCTGGGACTACAGGCGCATGCCACCATGCCCAGCTAATTTTTGTATTTTTTTTAGTAGAGACAGGGTTTCACCATATTGGCCAGGATGGTCTCGATCTCTTGACCTCGTAATCCGGCTGCCTCAGCCTCCCAAAGTGCTGGGATTACAGGCATGAGCCACCGTGCCTGGCCTACAATTTTTCTTTTTTTTTTTGAGACTGCTGGAGTGCAATGGGTGATCTCGGCTCACTGCAACCTCTGCCTCCCAGGTTCAAGCAATTTTTCTGCCTTGGCATCCCAAGTAGTTGGGACACCCACCAAGACGCCTGGCTAATTTTTGTATTTTTAGTAGAGAAAGAGTTTTGCCATGTTGGTCAGGCTGGTCTCACACTCCTGACCTTAGGTGATCCAGCCGCTTAGGCCTTCCAAAGTACTGGGATTACAGGTGTGAGCCACTGCACCCAGCCACAATATTTTTTTGTTTTTTAACACAATGTAAACAAACGCAATATTTTTAATATATGTGATCCATCACATGAGGGCAGGTGTGGAATTTTCCACTTGTAGCATCATGTTGGTACTAAAAAAATTTCAGGTTTTGGAGCATTTCAGATTTTAGATTTTTGGATTGGCGATGCTCAACCTGTACATCTAAAATATTCTTTTGACATGTAAACAATATAAGAAATTACAGGCCAGGCATGGTGGCTCACGCCTGTAATCCCAACACTTTGGGAGGCCAAGGCAGGTCTCAGGATCACCTGAGGTTGGGAGTTCAAGACTCCTAACATGGAAAAACCCCATCTCTACTAAAAATACAAAATTAGCTGGGCATGGTGCTGCATGTGTATAATCCCAGCTACTTGAGAGGCTGAGGCAGGAGAATTCCTTGAACCTGGGAGGTATAGGTTGTGATGAGCCCAGATCTTAGCATCACACTCCAGCCTGGGCAACAAGAGTGAAACTCTGTCTCCAAAAAAAAAAAGTCTTGGCCAGCCATATTGGTTCATGCCTATAATCCCAGCACTTCAGGAGGCTGAGGCGGTGGATCACTTGAGGTCAGGAGTTCGAGACAAGCCTGACCAACACGGTGAAATCCCGTCTGTACTAAAAATACAAAAAAATTATCCAGGCATGGTGTTTTCACCTGTAATCCCAGCTACTCAGGAGGCTGAGGCAGGAGAATTGCTTAAGCCTGGGAGATGGAGGTTGCAGTGAGCTGAGATCACACCACTGCACTCCAGCCTGGGCAACAGAGCGAGACTCCATCTCAAAAAAAAAAAAAACAACAACAAAAAAAACAAATTAGCTGGGCGTGGGGGCACACACCTGTAGTCCCATCTACTTTGGGAGCTGTGGCAGAAGGATCATTCGAATCCAGGTCGAGGCTGCAATGAGCCAAGACTGTGCCACTGTACTCCAGCTTGGTTGACAGTGAGACCCTGTCTCAAAAAAAAAAAGAAAAGAAAAGAAAAATAAAAAGAAATTGCAGTCTTTTTTCCATCCTAAGTCTTCAAAAGCAGGTATTTAAACAGTCAGCACATCTTAATCTGGACTAGTCACAAATGTTCAATAGCCAAATGTGGGTAGTGGCTGCCATACTGGACAGCAGAGCCTGAGAGGACTGTCAGGAGGATTAAAGAAGACAGTGCATCTCCTTTAGATGCAGGAGATAGAGCACTCAGCACAGTGTCTGGAAAGCAGAAAATACAGAAAATGTTAGCCTATTCTTCTCCCATCATCTGTGTCTATGGGATGAGGCTAACACTTTGTCAGTCTCTGAACTGACCATGTGCATCTCAACTGCCTTCTAATATACTGAATTCCTCACCACCTTCTTGTCTTCCAGAAAGCAGAGTGAAGCACTCACCACCATCCTGTGGTAGCCACCATGAACTCTGGCCCAAGCTTCTGTAGCAGCTCCCCAAAATAATACCCATCATCTGCTCCTTTTCCCTCCAATCTTCCTCCACTGAGTGACTAGAATGGTTTTTTTTTTTAACTGTACAAGGGAGAAATAATTTTTTTTTTTTTTTGAGATAGAGTCTTGAGTTGCCCAGGCTGGAGTGCAGTGGAGCAATCTCCACTCACTGCAACCTCCACCTCCTGGGTTCAAGTGATTCTCCTGTCTCCTAAGTAGCTGGGATTATAGACACGCGCCACAACACCAGCTAATTTTTGGATTTTTAGTAGAGATGGGGTTTTGCCATGTTGGCCAGGCTGGTCTTGAACTCTTGACCGCAGGTGATCTACCCCTCTGGGCCTCCAAAGTGGTGGAATTACAGGCATGTGCCACCGCACCCGGCCCGAGAAATGCTTTTTTGAAAAACACAAACCTTATGGCATTCACCTTCTTGGAGCTCTAGGGCAGTGGTTCTTAAGATTTTTTTCTTTCAGGACCCCTTAAAAATCATCAAGGACACCAAAGAGCTTTTGGGTATGTGGGTTATAACTATCAAGATTTATGGTACTAAAACTTAAAACTGAGAAAAATTTAAAACACAAGAATATACAGGCACATATTCCATTCACTGTGGGAACCATGGTGTCAATACGTATCATGTAGCTTCTGAAAAATTCCACTGTACACGTTTAGAGAATGAAGGCAAATAACATCTTATTTTTGTTATAAAAATAGTCTTGGCTGGGCACCGTGGCTCACGCTTTTAATCCTAGCACTTTGGGAGGTCGAGGTGGGTGGATCACCTGAGGTCAGGAGTTCAAGACCAGCCTGGCCATCATGGTGAAACCCCATCTTAAAAAAAAAAACAAAAAACGTCTTTATCTCACATACCCCCTGACATAGTCTCAGCGACCTGTAAGGCCCAGGCTACACTTGGAGAACTGGTGCTCTAGGGCCAAATCCATTCTTCTTGCCCTGGCTTACGTGTCCCCTGCGCTGGCACCACTGCCTAATTCTCCAACCCTAGATGGTGCTCCCCAGCCCTCCTCTCGACGCTCATCACACAGAGAATTATTCCTTTCCTCCAATGAAGCAAACGCCGCCCGCCCACCTCCAGGTCCCAGCCCTCTGTTCCCTCTGCCTGATCCACCCTTGCCCTCCCTGAGTCGCAAAGAAGGTCAGCCTCATCATTCCCCGCAGACTGCCGCACGTCTCTCTTGTGCGGCTCACCACAGTTGTATTTAAGTGATCGTGTGAGTCGTCGTTAAATGCCTGTCTCCTCCTGGACCGTGGGCTCCTCGAGGACAGGGACCCGCCTATATGTCCACCGCTGTAGGCCCCGCGCCGGGGCTAACGCCCACTGGAGGACGTTCATCAGATAGCTGCTGGACGTTGACAAGGGAAACGACGGCGCGGTTTAGGGACCTCGGAGTCAGGACGGTCGGCCAGACCGACGGAGTAACGGGTATAATCGTGTGGGAATAAAATTGTGTCCCAGTGCTTTCAACCAGGTCTCTCATTCCAACCCCTTTCCAACCTGAATAAATCTTTCAATCGCCTCTGGTCCCTTCCAGAGTGATCCTGAATCCCTCAGAGAACGCCCCGTCGACACAGTTCGGCGTCGGGCGCTACTATGGCGCATGAGATGTCCGCAAGCAGTAGGGACTCCACCGGCGAGGCGACACCTAGCTAGCCGAGATCCCAGCCCCAGCGCCGGAAGCCCCAGAGCGCAGAATCTGGAACCGGAAGTGGCTGCTTCCTGCCCCGCCCCCTGGAGCGGGGGCGGGAACCGAGGGCCCTTCGGAAAACCCGGCCGGGATTTTGGTCGGCTACATTCGTGGGTTGGGTGGGGAGCGTAACCCCGCGGGGTGGAGTGACCGGCTCTTTCTCCGCCTGAAAAGCTTCCCGCGGGAGTTTTAGTCGTGTTCTTGTTGGGGAAGGGAATGTCAAATTCTGCTCCTGCCTTCCCCCGAGGGCTGGATACAGGAATCTTTATTGCAATTCAGTGCGGGGCGACGTGGTCTCCAGAATCACGGAGTGCGGAGGCGGAGGACAGTGGAGCTAGGGGCTTGGGCTCCTGGGTCCTGGCCCCTGAGCGTCCAGCGTTCCCCTAGTCCGCGGCTCTGGCTCCTGTCCTCACTTCCTTCCCCTTTTGGCTCCTGCTCTCGGAGCGGGCGGACGCGGGGGGGAGCGGAAAGGGCGGGAGGCCTAGGAGCCCGGCGGGAGGGGTTCAAGGGGGTACGGAAAAGCCGGGGAGGGGACTCGGTCCGGGTCCGGAGACCGACGGCAACAGCGGCCCAGGACCCACGCTGCCCCCACCCCTCCCGAGCAGGTCAGAGCCTGAGCACCCTGTGACCCTGCGCGTCCCCATACTCGTGACCCCGTCCTCTCCCAACTGCACCCAAAGGCCACCCCCATTCCACCCCATTGTTGCCCCCTTCCCCCAGCTTTCCTGCAGAACTCCCAGTCTTCTTGACACCCACCCTCGTCCCTTCCCTGCCCGGCTCCCCCGCGCCCGCCTGACTCTCCACCCCACCCCACCCCACCCCATCTCTCCCCAGGCGCCCCCATGGCCCGACCCCGCTGATTCCTTCACTCGGCCATGCTCCCGCGGCCTCTGCGGCTGCTTTTGGACACGAGCCCCCCCGGGGGAGTCGTACTGAGCAGCTTCCGAAGCCGGGACCCCGAAGAGGGTGGGGGCCCAGGTGGCCGGGTCTTGGGCGGGGGGCAGGAGGAAGAGGAGGAGGAAGAAGAAGAAGAGGTGAGACGCAGGTGGTGGGAGGTAGGGGGCGTATGTATTTCTGAAGTCTCCACCTTTTTCTTGTCTCTGGGTCCCTACATCTCCTCCTCCTAGCCTCAGTTATTCTCGCGCCTCCCTGGGTGTCGGTCCGTTTCCCTGCTGCGGGGAGTCCTGGCGTCTCTGTGGTTCTCTGTCAGTGTGACTCAGGACCTGCCCGCAGGAACCTGTCCTGTTTCTGCCTGAAACTTCTGGCTGGCTGTTCCTTCGGGTCTCTGGCCCTTTCTGCCTCTGCCTGAGTGTGCCTGCCTCTCTGAGCAGTTGTGTCTTGGTCCCTGTCTCCCTCCTTGTTTTTGTTTGGCGGGGAGGGGTTTGTTTCCACAGTAACAAGCTCCTCTGACTCTGGGATTGGGGAGGGAACCCTCAGATTTCATGACCCCTCCTTCCCTCCCTCCCCCATTTACCCCCTCCCCCCCCCACCCCCGCTCCCGCGCCGGGAAGTCGCCAGTTCTAGAACAGAATGGTCACCTGTTTTCATTAGGGATTAATGGTGGTGGCCAGGAGCAGGATTTAGGGCCTCAGGAGGGGCCACAATTTGGATTTGGGGCCCCGAGGCCCTAAACTCCTAAGTCCAGATACTAGGTGAGGGCAGGGTGACTGGCAGGGCTGGTTTTTCGGGATCGGTCGGGGGAGGGGCTGGAGCCACGTGATTCTCTGAGTCTACCCCCCCCCCCATCATTCCACTTCCCCTTTTCCTTCCTGTACTAGGATTGGAGCTGCTGCCTTCGAGGGTCCCTTAGGGCTGAGATAGTGGAGGCGCTACCTGAGGGACCAGGGTGAAAGGGGGCCTGAGAAGGACTAATTCTCTGGGCTGGTCTAGTCCTTGGTGGGGAGGGGCGGGGCATGTGGCAGTACCTGGACTGAGGTTTCAGCTACTCCAGGTCGCTGCCTCTGGCTTCCCTCTCCTGCCCTTTGTACTCTGCTTCTCTGTCGTTTGTGGGTTCAGCTCTGGGGGGAAGGGGCTTTGGGGGTCTCCAGGATCAGGATTCCTGTACTCCATCCACCCCTCCACTGCAGCCCCTTCGACTCCACCAAGCCCTGAGGCGGCTGGGGTGGGGCTGTCTGGGCCCCAGTGGGGGAGACCTGGGGTCACCAGCCCCCCCTACCCTTCCTCGCACTCGCTGGTACTATCCCCTGCCACCACAGGTGAGGGGTACAGAGGGAGGAGCAGGGCCTGTGGTGAGGGCTGAGGGCAGTGGGGGGTGGTGTGGAACTGTCTGACTTCCCCTTCCTTGCTCCTCCAGGCCCCTGTGTCAGTCTGGGATGAAGAGGAGGATGGTGCAGTGTTTACCGTCACAAGCCGCCAATATCGGCCTCTTGATCCCTTGGTGAGATCATGACTTTAGCTTCTCATCTCTGACCCTTCGTTCCCACTTTCCCTTCTTCTGGCTGACTTTCTGGCCAGAGTGCTAGGTTGGAGTTCTGGACTCTGCTGTGTGACATAGGTCAAGATTTTTGCCCTCTCTGAATATCAGCAAAATAAGTCTAGAACATCTTCTAGGTCTGGAATTGTCCTCAGAAATCTAGGGGAGTGGGAGAAAGGGTTGGTGATCATCTCTCTGTGTCTTCCAGGTCCCTATGCCTCCACCGCGTTCTTCCCGACGGCTCCGAGCTGGCACTCTGGAGGCCCTGGTCAGACACCTACTGGATAGCCGGACATCAGGGACTGACGTGACCTTCATGTCAGCCTTCCTGGCCACCCACCGGGCCTTCACCTCCACGCCTGCCCTGCTAGGGCTTATGGCTGACAGGTCAGAGTCATAAGGGACCCAGGGTCGTGGAGTGTCTGTCTGGATTTCCTAAAGCTCCAACATCCCACCAAAATAGTCAAGGCCACTGGGGATTTGGGAAAAATAGACAGATAAATTCTCTTCTCCCCCTCAGGCTGGAAGCCCTTGAATCTCATCCTGCCAATGAACTAGAGAGGACAACAGAGTGAGTGACCTCTGTTTCTTAACTTCACAGTCCCCTCTCTCCAGGCTGCAGCTTTACCTCTCACCTTTGGCTGATTCCCCTTCTCCCAGGGTAGCCATCTCTGTATTGTCAACTTGGCTGGCCTCTCACCCTGAGGATTTTGGCTCTGAGGCCAAGGGTCAGCTTGACCGGCTTGAGAGCTTCTTACTTCAGACAGGGTATGCAGCAGGGAAGGGTGTTGGGGGGGGCAGCGCTGACCTCATCCGCAACCTCCGGTCCCGGGTGGACCCCCAGGCCCCCGACCTTCCTAAGTCCCTGGCCCTCCCCGGCGATCCCCCTGCTGACCCCACGGATGTCCTGGTGTTCCTCGCTGACCACTTGGCCGAACAGCTGACCCTGCTAGATGCGGTGAGACCCTGACCTCTGAACCCTGTAACCCCTGACCCCCTACTAACCTCTCCTTGACTCCAGATCCTTTCCTTGCTTCCACCCCTTCCTGATCCAGCTCCTAACCTCTTTCACCTTCCATTTCGACTTTTCCCTTTTCCCTTTGGTTGTTACCCTTCAAACCCTATGCCCCTCCAGTTCCTTGGCCACCTGAGATTCTCAGATCCCTGATATTGGAAGGCTGACCTCACTTGACTATGAATTTTAACCTCTGACTTCTATCCTGCAGGAGCTGTTTCTCAATTTGATCCCCTCTCAGTGCCTGGGAGGCCTGTGGGGTCATAGAGACCGGCCAGGACATTCTCACCTCTGCCCATCTGTCCGAGCCACTATCACACAGTTCAACAAGGTGGCAGGGGCAGTGGTTAGTTCTGTCTTGGGGGCCACCTCCACCGGAGAGGGTCCTGGGGAGGTGACCATACGGCCACTCCGTCCCCCACAGAGAGCCCGGCTCCTGGAGAAGTGGATCCGTGTGGCAGAGGTGAGAGACAGGATTGCCCCATGGTTGGCCGAGGTGGCATGGAGAGGGCTCCCATAGCCTTAGCTCTCCTCTTTGACCCCCACAGGAGTGCCGGCTGCTCCGAAACTTCTCTTCAGTATATGCTGTGGTGTCGGCCCTGCAGTCCAGCCCCATCCACAGGCTTCGGGCAGCCTGGGGGGAAGCAACCAGGTGGGGACACCAAGGCACTGGACTGGGGTGGCGGTTCCTCAGAGGGCAGGGAAGAGGGGGTGACGGAGCCAGGTCTGTCCTTAGGGCCATTCTTCTCCCTTCCCCAGGGACAGCCTCCGAGTCTTTTCCAGCCTCTGTCAGATTTTCTCTGAGAAGGATAATTATTCCCAAAGCCGGGAGCTGCTCGCGCAGGTGAGAGCCTAGTTTCTGGCATTCCCACCTCTCCCTGCTCCTTACTGCTCCCCATGTCTCTTTATTTTGTCACTACCAGGAGGTGAAGCTGCAGTCTCCTCTAGAGTCACACTCCAAGAAGGCCCCGAGGTCTGGCTCTCGGGGTGGGGTGAGTGACTAGTGGGCTGGTGGGCTTGGGGGTGGTGATTGTGAAGGAGTGAAGAGTGTGTTTGGGGGGAGCAGCCTGAAGGATGGGAAAGGGAGACACAGAGGGATGAGGAGAACGAAATCTGTTTTCTGTGGCAGTGGAGAGGGCAAGTGCGGAGGGATGGAGGGCCCTCACATCAATGACAGGCATGTCTGATCCTGACTTCCTACCTCAGGGTGTGGTCCCATACCTTGGCACCTTCCTGAAGGACCTTGTGATGCTGGATGCAGCCTCCAAGGATGAGCTGGAGGTCAGTGGTGTGTGTGTGTCACTGCAAAGTGCCATTGGTTTACCAGACAGCTGTGTGTGTGTGTGTGTGTGTCACTGTGAAGATGTAATAAGTGGGCTGCAGGGTCACACAGATCCCCCCCCCCCCAGCAAGGGACTATAAATAGCTGAGTGTGGGACTCTGGAGTCAAAGCCAGATCTGTTACTGTGCCAAGTTGCCTCAGTGATCTGTAAATGGGAAACTAGAAATAGCATCTACATCAATCTGTTATTATGGGGGTTAAATGAATTTGTATTTGTCAGATG